TGGTGTAATGTATGGGATTTGTAAGGCACTTTTCAAGTTAGAGACACAGACCAAAGACTAACTTTGTGACAGATTGGGCACCATCGGCCCTCGGGAAGGAGGAAGTTTACCCTGAGCAAGATTAATAGTGATACCTCTGCATCCCTTCTGCTTTCACCACCTGTCCTCATCTAATCTGTCGGCCAGCACTAAGGGTATGTGGGCTACGGTGGAAAGGAGAAACATCACTCTTATTAGAGTAATGCTTCCCAAATAAAAAACCTCTTCCATGAATTAAAAACAACCCGAAACAAAATTCTTCAGAGTACTAATAACCACTCTGTTGGCTCAAGAATGTCAACTATGCAACCATGCGTTGCATTGTCTGCTGTAAAAAAAAATGCACTAAAAAGCAAGTTTTCCCTCAAGATTTACCTGAATTCCATGCTTAGAGATTATTTTCTCGGAAAAACGAAGCCGTACTTCGTTTGGAATGCCTCCTAGATAGAGGGGCTCATCAAAGTTGAAATTCCTGGCTGTGACCACTGATGGGATGGTTAGATTGTAGTCCTCCTCGTCTCCAAATTCTGACTTAATTTGAATGCGTAAAAACTCATCCATTTGTCCATTTCTAGGAAGGAGCGCAAAATATCATAGGTTTTTTCAAAAAATAGAGGATTAATGTCTCCATTTCCGAAAATAGCACATTTTCGTTGCTACTATTCTTTGCTATGAAGTGATCAAATCTTTACTTACCGAGGTAAAACAACAGTTACTGAACAAGGTTATTACAAACGATTTTGGGCTAAACAAACGTTTTCCATGAAATTTTAATTACCAGATTTCATTTACTCTCACACTCCTGCATACATGTTCCTCTTGCTTCGAGGTGCGTCCTCAAAAACCAAACAGTCATTAAAATTTGACAGGGGTAAAGTGGTCGTGATTACCAGGTTGTGTTTATGGGACTAATGGGAATCAAACGCATATCCGAATTGGTTAAGTAAATGAAGGTGGTTAAATTAGAGTGATATAATAAACTGAAGTCGCATTTACATATTTTAGAGGAAAACCAGACTGGGCCCATGCTGCCCACCGCTCTGAAGTTTGAATGTAATTACCCTACTCCAAATCAAATGCAGAACAGTGAATGGGTCGTTTCCCTGATGAAACATTAAATCTTATTATTCTTCTATCTCAACAGCGTGGCAAATTAACTCTGATGAAAAATTCAACGAACGAGTAGCAAAATTGCTTATAAGTAAAGAGTGCACTTCATGGAGTCTGAGTTTAAATTTAGGGTATTCAAAAGCACAAAGCACAAAAGCACAAATGCTACTTGTTGGTATTACTATAGTTAATTAATTAGAAATAAGGCTTATGAATTTAGGGCTCATAAAAAAATGGAATGACCCATTAATAAAGGGTCTACCTGACCTACCTTCCAGATAGTGCGACGATTGAGAAACTAATGGTAATGCTTTGATATTTGGTTTTAGTATGCGTTAGATGACGCCTCTGATTGTACTTCCACTCGCTGTCCTAGCCTCTGAGCCATGCCGGTGGCCTTAACTCTTCTGTACGTCAGCAATATATCTCCAGCCATGCTACCAGGATTTCTTACGACCTCAGGAATGATTAGGGGCGCTACATTGCTGGTAGCAATAAGCTAACTCGATGCAAATGTTCAATTATTCGGATCTCTATAGTTGGATGCGAAACACTTAAATGATGAAGAAGGGTATCTGTAGATGGTGAGAACCTGTGATTGCTTCCAACATAAGGAGTAAAACTGATATCTATCGTTAGCGACTACTCCAGTCTTTTAGCCAACAGAAATCCATAAATAACTAAGGCGCCACTGGTCGTTAGGGCAAGCCATCTGGAAAAGTTTGCTATGGAGCTGTCTTCGGTACCCGTTAGATGTCGGTTGAGTGGAAATATTTGCCTTTCCGCCTCACAGCTAGCTAAAAGGGATCCGGATAGAAATTTGACAACATAGCAGTGAAGTGGGAACGGAGTACCCAAAAGGATAGATGCGAAACCTGCGGAGAAACTCGTTTCCTACATAAACACGAATCACTGATCGGATTCGCCGTTAAAAGCTCATAGAATGAAGCTTTAAACAGTTGAAAACTCACATGAAGAGGCTCCCTCTAAACCACGCTCCACCGATGCCAATTGAGCTAGTAAATATTCGAGACTGAATACGACCCAAATAAATATGGCTGGGTACCACTGAAGCCAGATATCACTCTTTATTTAATAGATATGTTGCAATAGTTTGATCGGTTAAGTCTCGGTTTTAGTTCTGGGGGCATTGATGGCTCCACTATCGCACTTTTTCTAGACGGCAAGGCTTACGGACTATGCCAGTAGCACCTCAGCCCTTTTCCACGTCGTCAGTACGTCTTCTGACCTAGTATTATGACTTCTTTCGTCTTCAAGAAAGACTAGAGGTGCCACGATAGTACAGCTCCTCGGCAAACTTACCTCTTCACTTTGGATTTCATAAAGAAGTAAAGCCCCTTACCAAAATACACAAATTTCTGACCGAATTCAAGGGCTTTATGGAATGCAAAGAAGGCGCAAGCGAAGCGTCTATAATAAGTGGGTAAGCTTTAAGGCAAGAAAAATCACTTGATTCATACATAATTGGAGTGGAGGAGCAAGGAAGAAAAAACATTTCGAGCTATAAGATTGGATGGAATAAATGGCTGCTGCACTGCCTAGACTTCTCTTGCACACAAAAGTCTTTTCAAATACAAACAAATCTAAAAGATACGAGTAAAAATAGAGACGGAGATATTGCTAAGTACTAAAGAAAAACAAAAACCTTAACCTAGCTCAACAAACCCACTAAAGGACGACTAGTAAGTGTAAAAGTAGTCATTTGATCACATGTACCTATAAGAATAAAACCCATGTACTTATTTACAGATTTGTAAAGCAAGCACCACTAGTGACGCCTGTGATCGTTTCTATTTAATTAAGGAATATTTTGCAATTTATATGAGTTTTTTTTTCCGCATGGAGCTGTTACACCTTTATTCGCTGCTAACACTTTTCGTAGGATAATAACAGACTCCTTAAAATCTTAAATGGCATGGATGGAAAGAAAATTTAAAGTTTTTTTCAGCTGCATCAAATTTAAATGAATATAGCAAATGACTCCTCACCCTTCGGTTTTATCCACTATCACAGGCACAGGTTATTGTAATACTTTGGTAAGTTAACTGGCTCTTTGTTTTGGTTTTGCGGGTACTTAGGGCCCGACTTTTGTACATTTGCTGGGTGATGTGGACTCCAGGCCTTGCTACTGACCTCCACCTATTCTGTCCGTCAATAATTCATAGCACGCCCTAGGAACATATCTTCTTATTGAATTCAGGGAAGTTTCATGGTAGTAGAAAGCTTGCCCGATCCTGAAGAAAAACCATACTTATTTCTGCCGCTGAATGCTTAGCCTTGAGGTGAGGAATGAAGAATATGTGCCGCAGGTTGAAGAGACTGTGGCAACTCCCAACAGAAGAGTTGAAACTGAAGTCCGCCATCGGCAACTACCACAGTCCCGAGATTTGCAGGATTACTCGTAACAAATGAGGCAGGAATGGTCGTGATCCATCAGGAATAGTTTGTTACGGAGCTATCTACGTTACCTATGTGATGATGGTATTTAAGAAAACAAGGTGATACATCCTCAGCTTGCCTACTTGCTAAATAAAACCCTGATAGTTATAGCTGGACAGCAGTGAAGTGACTACTAAGTAACTTTATCCCAATGAAGTTATTTTAGACCCCACCCTTGATTAAATGACTATGTTTTTGGACCACTGCTCCTACAACAAGCAATTTACATGCGAGATGACGAGTGCATTCCACCTTCTCCAATACGTTTAAAAGGAGGATGAAAATCCAGGTCTAGCGGATTGGCTGAGTGGTATCATTAACACTGCAGTCTGATGCCTTCTCAGTTATACGTTAATTTGATGATAGAAGCGGTTAGTTTATGTGTGTCTTTCTTACAGCACCACCTACTTTATGAGGGCTGACATGGGAGGCTGAATACTAGGAACCTTGGAGACGACATTTTAAGGGGGAAGGGGTTATGTAATACTCTTTGTTTTGCTTTTGTGGGCACTTAAGGCTTAGTTTTAGTTCTTTACTGAGCGGAATGGTCTCCAGTTTATGCCAGTGGCCCCATTCCCCATTGTACATCCCTAATACATATTTCGCTCAGGTGTTTTACATTATTTCGTCCTTATGAAAGCCTCGAGGAGCCACATAGTACCCATACTTACCAAGTAACTTTTCAAAAGACCATTGGTATCTTTGTATAATACCAGAAGAACCAATTAAGGGTGAGAGAGAGAAATTATGGTTTTTTGCCTAGGTGTACATGGGATAAAGACATGGAGAACAATGACAGTCAGGCAAGGACTGGCTAATGGCCATTTCTCCATGTTTATAACTAATGGACAATTTAATTTCGGTCTTTGTACCCTTGTACAGCATTTAGCTAAAAAAAATTATGGTTGGCAATTCATTTTTAAAGACAACAAGAGAATTTGATTCCACTTAACACCACCTGCACAATTTAAATAACTCAAGAGGAATGCCAATGCGAAATCTTTGCAGTTTTAATTAAAAACATACTAATAACATTAGCTGTTTTCTTTCTCAAATTTACCTAACCTCCTTGGAGCTAAAAATGCATACAAAAGTTGGTAATTAGGCATTTGATTGCTATTAAAATGGCCTCATTATGCATTTGTCACATGAGAAAGAGACAGTCTCTATCCACACAGTAACCTATTCAAAACTGTGCTCTTTGATTGTTCCGCTAAAACGCAGTAGTGCATGCCATCTATTTTTGGATTTTCCTGTCATGGTTCATTTAAATGTAACTGTTTTACACACTTTCGTTTGAATAAAAGGCATTAACGGCATAAGTAATAATGAAAGTCAACTGGTTGCAATTAATAGAAAAGGGGTTTTAATGGGCTAGTGATGGCAAGATTCATATTACCCAGATCAAAGTAAGTAGACAGCAAGGAAGAATTAACAAGAGTTAGGTCTAAATATAGATTTGAACAAAATGCATGGCTCGTTTGCTGATAAAATACATTGCCGCCACTGGGATCTTTCCTGAATTCAAAAGAAGGCATTATACTAATGAAGAATACTTATTGCCGACGTGGAGAAGAGCTAGAGGGCTATTTGACGTAGCCCTTGGGCCATTCCGCTTGGTAGAAGTACGGTGGCGGAGATTTCAATGCTCGCCAAATCAAAACGGAGAGTTGAATAAACCATCAATGCATTACTTAGCCCTCCTCTCCTTTTGAGCATTGTTCCCTGTGTTTCTTTTTGTCAACTCACCCCCTTCGCGTAGATACAAGTGGCGTTGTATCCATGAGATAGCATTTGATGTTGTAGTATATCGTGAGCCCTCACATGAGCCTTAAAGTGCAATAAGGTGGTGGCACCCACAACCCGCGGTAAAAGATTTGAACGGTGCAAAGATTTAGAAGACGGGTGATCCAACGTACATCAGTGGGGAATCCAGCTGCGACGCCTCCAAATTCATATCACAACAGGCATTTCCTAAGTTTGTCAATATTTGGAGTCCTGCCAAACATAGTCTTTTCTAAAATTCCACCAAATATGAATAGTCGCGAATATTTATGCATGTTAATGGTCAAGACATATGTCCCCTCTGTAAGATCAACATAAGTTAAAATAAAGGTTGCATTGAGAGGAATGAGGTTTTTCGGCTTTAGAGACCGTGGTTTCTTGGGCGCTTCTATTACACATTTCGAAACTTCTAAATGCCCTTCTACTCCAGATACAAGGCAAACATTAACACAACAAAGGCATGGGGTATCACTATCAATGACCCGATAATGAAGCTAAGTAGGTTTCATTAAGCTAGTTGACCGAACTTTTAGATGATCCAAAATCAGCCCTAAGTTAACTTTTTTAGTGTTGGATAAAATCTGGATCGAAAAAAAGGACCGTAAAGCAGAATATAGACAAATGACTTACCTTGAAATGATAATTTGATGCCAGTTTCCATCGCTAAGAAACCCTCTCCCGATTCTTTGGTGCTGAAGAGTTGAACCATGGCCCATATCAAAAGAGACCGTTAATTGAGTTCTCACTAGCTCCACAGCAAGAAAATCGCCTCCACCAGAGTTAAACAACACCACACCGTCTTCTTGATATGTCTTCAACGAAAATATTAATTGAAAAGTTCCGTAGAGGTTCAACCGTGGTAGACGCAGAAAGCAGTCTGGCGTCTTCAGGGTTATTGCCGGCTGAACGTCCATGAGAAAGACTGCAGGAGACATCTTTAACTGGGGCGTTTCAACGAGGTATTCCGGCTCCAAAAGAGGATCCACTCCATTGAATGTAAAGTGTCGGATTTGACCGATGAATGGTGAGGTGATGGGTGTTGTCTTTTGACCAACTTTAATTTCCTGAATGCGCATTATTAAATTTCTCACATCGAGACCTACAAAGGTAAGAGAATGATTTGTCAGCTTTGTTGGAAAGCCATATTTTAGCTAGCCACATAAACAACGGAAGAAATTATGGCACAACAAAGGGTGCATAGGTGCGTTAAACAAAAATAGGAGGCGAAAAGAATTAAATGAATATTTTTTTTCACAAAGAAGATATTGAATTAACAAATTTACCCTCCAATTGGTGTGTATCATCAGTGCCACCAAGACAAACGTAAATCGTTGTCTTATTTTCCATCAGCCATTGGTTTTCGCCTTCAAGTAATCCTAGCAAGGTAAAAAATAAAGGCACACGCATTCTCGTTCTTTGGTTGTTCGGCCACTTTCCCTATACCGTTCCTCGTGACATTATGGCCCTTATGGTAATCCTCTGTAGAAATTAGACTCTTTTACTAAGGCGTATCAAAGAAACGTATGCAAATGTGGAGATTCTGAATGAGTCGGTGGTTTTACACTTTCGTATTGTTACAAAGACCTTAGGACTGATCTTGGCATAGGTAGCCAATTCAAAATCAGAGACAAATAATGGTGATCCTTTATCAGAGTACGCCCTCTTTCAGAAAGTTGGCAGGCACTTCAAGATATTAAATGTGTGAGGGACCTAACTAAGACATTTTTAGTACCATTAACTTCCGGTTAAATTTAGAGTATTGAAAAGTGGAAATTGCAGCAAAGAATACCAAACAAAGTTGTTAAATTTGGTTGACTGTAAATCCCATAAAATACTTTTCCACTAGATTTTACTTAAACACGTTAAGTCAAGCCTCCATAAAAAAGGTACAAAGAGACTTAAGGGTTTCGGGATTTTGCTCTTTGAAATGATATTCTTAGGAAAAAAAGAAACCGGCTGTCTAGTTTAAATTCTCTCCGAGACAAGTATAAGATTTGCTGTCCCAAAGTACGGATGGGTGATAGGATTGTAAATTTCCCCTTAGTTACAAAGGTTTAAGTTACGCAGCTTTCCGTAGATATGATATTCTGCGAATGCATAGTTTTCTCATTGGACATTCTTCTGGAAGGGATATTAAGAGTTCTTTTATAAAATTGACCGTGGGAAGATCAGAGGGCCCGAAAGTGGGCGTATTAGGGTAGTGGCTACTTCTAAAACCGCAATAATATAGAAGCACTTCCGAGAATATTTCCCTGACGGTTGAATGCAGCTGTACAACTTGAAAATCCATTTAACCAGCAAAGGAGTCTGGGTATGTGCGAACCAAGTCATTTGTTCCCCTCACTTGGCCAGTTATTCTGAGCACTTCAATAATGTTGGCAATAGTGGTGAGAAATTAGTTTTACACTGCCAAGTAATTTGTCTTGTCATAAACTGCGTTTAAAAGTGCAAAAATGTTAACGCCTCTTCAGCACTCTTTTGCTATATTTGCAACCAGTTGTAGGTTTCAAAAATGCTTGGAATAGATTTTTAGCATCGCTAAGATGTCAACCATGGAGTGAGGAAAACAACGGTTATCAGATTTCTTATGATGCTGACGGATGACATAACCTGCGTCACATCACAGGAATGTGGAAGCTCAAACAAGAAGGGGAGAAAAAATAAGATTTTTACTCTCAGCAGCTAGTTGATAGTTGTAGATAAGATTTACCAAATTATTTTCTCACGTTTTTATACTTAATAATGGGAAGTCACAAAAGTTGGGAAACGTAATACATAAATGGGCTATCAAAAATGTTTCCTGTGAACATCTTAAAAGAGAGTTAGATATTGCTCAAACATGACTACTGAGGTTGGATTAATTTAATAGGTAGATTGACCCAGGGTAAATATTGCTAAACTCTTATTTTTCAAGGGTAAATCTCTTCTAAACGGGAACAACTGGGGTTGTGGGAAGTTAATCAAGGCTTTAACTGGGAACTTTTTTTCCAAAACCAAATGACCAAACGGCGCCTCCAGACATCTCTACGATTGCCCTCAAATCAGTGACGTAATACTTGGGCAGAATATGCATTTTCTTCCCATAAAAGGCTTTGAGGGCTGCTGGCATTTTCTGGAGGCCAGGCTGCCTGGCGGTGGTATGATCGTGGAGCCCTTAGTGACCCGCTACCAAGGCTGAGAGTTAAACAATCAATCAGAGTATTCCACAGCACCCTCTCCGCTTTTGAGCATCTTCCCAGGTGGCCCCCTTAATCGACCTTCCGCGTCAGCCATTACGAAGTTGTCGGTACTGTAAGAAGAGCATCTACGAACCATCAGCACCAGTCATCGAATTTGCGTGTTATTGAGAAGTCACTAATCCCTCTTGCAATCCTACCGGATCAAAAGTTTCTTCTTGTTTAGGAACTATATTGAAGGAAGAGAAAATGTGCCGGCTATCAGGAATGTCGATCGCAAGTAGTATGAGTACTGGCCTTCCATTTGTTGAAAAGACAAGGAGTGGGTTGTCGATTCTTGTACAAAATTTTAATCATTTATTCGGCACTATGACGCCCCAAAATATTTTCTCTAGGGGCAAATACGTCTTTGATTAGCTGTTTGATCAGCTTAGATCATGATCGTAACTTTCACAACAATATGAAACCCTAACAATGATTAATAACTAAAAGAGCTTTAGAAAGAGAAGTTCTAATTTCAAGTCGCGAGATGGATTATGTGAAGTAAAACCCCAGAAAGAAGTGTTTTTTTATTCCAAATGAGCCACTTATCCTTCTTTAATAAAGCTGCAAAGATATAAATGATAATGAGTTTTAAAATTTATTCCATGGATTGACCTTTATCTTGGATTCAGAGGCAGTTAAGGCAGACTTCCTACAACCCATTGCGGAAATGAAGGAAACGGTCTTAAAGTTTATGATTTGCCAAAGAGATCAGAAGTTTGGAAAGTGAAACTTGTCAACGAAGCAGAAATTTTAAATCACTATGACGTGATAGAATTTAAATGAAAAAAGTTCAGAATGAAAGTAAAAGGAGATGTTGATCATCTATTTCCCTCAGCACTGCTAAAATTTTCCGATACAAATTCAGGGGTCTGTAATTTTTAATAGCATTTACAATTATTTATTTTTGAGGTCGCAAATCTTGCATCTATGGTAGGAGAAAAGTAGACCAAAATTCACTCACCCCAATTTGAAGACATTTGAATCGTTTGAACCTGGAATATTGCATCTGATCACCACTGATCTTATGGAAATCTTCGAAGAAAAACACTTTCTAATTGCTCCGTTAATTGCTAACTTCAAACCCCCCCTAACTTACTATGTGAAAACTCCTTTAGACGTATAATCTTCACGAAGTTCAGGAATGGTTTTATTCATTACAATGCAGGCATATTTTAGAAAATGCAGTCATAATTACTAAATAGAAGTACGACTGAAATTTCAGCTCTGGAG